TTCAACTTGAAGTCACAGCTGCATTAGCCCCTCACAAGAGAGTCAGCCTGTCCTTTGAGGCTCTGAAGCCCAGGCACGGACTTCTCCTCTCCAGCTATGGAAGTCCTAGATGGCATCTTCCAATAGAAGGCTGTTCCGTCTACACTGAAAATCTGTTGTTTAGTGTAGCCACCGTCATGAGTGATCTGAGCCAGAGCTTCCGGATCACCTGCTGCAGCGTCTACACGCGGTGGCTGCTTCACCTTGGTACTTCCATGTTATGGAGGCGGCTTCTTTCCCTAAACCTCACGAACCCACCTCTGCTGCTTCCAACCTTCCTTCTGCAGCCTCCTCACCTCTCTCAGGCTTCACAGAGCAGAGGAGAGCTAGGACCTTGCTCTGGGTCAGGCTTTGGCTTAAGAGGATGTGGTGGCTGGTTTGCTCTTCCATCCAGACCACTCACACTTTCTCCACCTCAGCAGTAAGGCTGTCTGACTTTCTTACCACGCGTGTGTTCACTGGGGTAGCACTTTCAATCTCCTCCAAGAACTCTTCCTTTGCTTTCACAACTTGGTTTTTTTTTTTAGATGTGACTATGGTACTACGGTTATGTTTTTAAAAGTGTCTTTTAGGGGCGCCTGGGTGGCTCAGATGGTTGAGCGTCTGCCTTTGGCTCCTCAGGTCATGATCCCAGGGTCCTGGGATCGAGCCCCACATCGGGCTCCTGGCTCAGCAAGGAGCCTGCTTCTCCCTCTCCCTCTGCCTCTCTCCCTGCTCATGCTTTCTCTTCTCTTTCTCTGTATCTCTGTGTCTCAAATGAATAAATAAAATCCTTTAAAAAAAAAGTGTCTTTTATAGATCCAGAATTTAAATATTTATGGATCAAATAACAGGATGTCTTAGATGTGCTTCAAAATAATATGGGGGAATAGATGGGGGTATGGATGAAATAAAGTTGGCCATGAGTTGATAACTGTGCAAAGTAAGCAATGGGTACATGGAGATTCTTTATACTATTCACTCTACTTTTGCCTATGTGTAAAAACTTTGCACTAAATAAGTTTAAGCAAGAATAAAAAGTTACTGTGTTGGGTGCCTGGGTGGCTTAGTCCGTTAAGCATCTGCCTTTGGCTCAGGTCATGATGCCAGGGTCCTGGGATGGAGTCCTGCATCGGGCTCCCTGCTCAGCGGGGAGTCTGCTTCTCCCTCTGCCCCTCCTGCTCCCCCTGCTTGTGCTTTCTCTCTCCCAAATAAATAAATAAAATCTTTAAAAAAAAAAAAGTTACTGAGCTGACCCACTCTCCAACCCAGGTTCTCCCAACTGACTTCAAAGACAGAGAACCAAGAAGAAAACTGATGGAGAAACAGCACAGAAACTGAAACTGGATGCTCTGGGCAGGGACATCTCAGACATGGTGTGGACAAGAAGAAGGGGCTGGTGGAAAACAGCATTAGCCACGGTGGAAAGCCACAGTCTGGATGCTTTGTTAAAGAGGATTACAGCATTGAGTTAAAACTGATTTCAGAATAAAAGAATTGATGTGTATAAACGTAGTAAAAAGGGTTTGTAGCTTTAGCTTCTAAAGTGAACACTCTTAACATGAGTGAGTGAAAGGATAATTGCACATAAACCCTGTGTATCAAATCAGGAGGGTTTTTTAATTACAAAGGAATCTCCTAAAGCCCTTCGCTCATCTCTTATTAAAGCCCTATCACACTGCAATATAATTACCTGCTGGCCACCCTCCTCCAGACAGACCCACTTGTCACCGCCCCTGGGAAGGCAGCTCCAATATGAGTGCCGTCTTTCAGATACTCCATCCCACAAGCCGAAGTAAGACTCCCAAGGTACAGTTTCCAGGCTTCCCCAGGGTCTTGGCTCAGAGAATAAATGGCACTGGCCCTCAGGTGGTAAGTTAATTTTAAAAAAGGAAGGAAAGGAGGGAAGAAGCAAGCCAGATATTCTCTATAATATCTTAATGATTTATATAGGGGTAGTCCCTGATCACAAGTCATTGAAGGCTCCTCTATGATCCTGAGTTTCCAGGGAGAGAAGGGGTGAATGTTCTCCCAGTAATCCATGGCAGGCTAAGCCCTCCAATGTGCAGATTTACATGAGGAAGGTTATCTGTGAGATTAGAAGCCATTCTTTTTCAGTGAAAGCTGGGAGTCTAGAGATTACAGTAGAAGGCACAGGCAGCTCATAAATCTGCAGAGCCTGGGGCTCTGGACAGCCCTCTCATTGGCAAAGCGATTGATGCTTCTGCCAGGGAAGCTCCAAAGAAACTCTTCATCACTATCTCATTTGGAGACTTGACACCCAAATGGACACACTGATGCCCAAGTTTATAGATCTGAGCAAAGCCCAAAGGTGTCAAATCTATATAAATCAGGGTGGGAGGTCTGCAAAGGCCCTGAGGACCAGGCTTTTCTCAAACACCAGCTTCTGACTCTCTGAAGGTTTAGAGCACCTAGGACATTGGCCTGGAGCTTTCATAACAAAATGTAAGGAAGGAACTCGAGTCCTAACACAGGAGCAGGCTGAAAGAGCCCCTCACCAGGTTGATGTCAGGTATTCTCGGCCCAGAGAGACCCAAGCAACTGTTGCCATTGTGGGCTCTACCTCTGTCCTCCAGCTGGGCTCAGATTTTCTTGTTCTCAGGGATGTGAGCCCACATCACATCACTGTGTCCCAAATGAACAACCTATGACTTTTACCTTCCCAAATGCCATGGAAAGCTGACTACTCTCTTCAGAAAAACAGGTAATTGATTGCTTCTGCTCAACCTTCAGGGCCCAGCTCAAACAAGACCCCTTCTATGAAGCCTTCCCTCAAGCCAAATGAGTCACTGCTTCTGTGCTCCCACCATGCTCATCAATTCACAATTTGGGTAGAGCACGTCTCTAAAAACACAGTCTGTTTATTCTGTTTAGCTGTTTTATCCATGGACCAAGGCTCCCTGAGGCAGACTGTATTTGATTTTCTAGGTCCCTGATGCCTGGCCCATGGAGGCCACAGAACAGCCTCAAGTAAACACTGAGCGAGAGAGTAAATGAGGGTTCTGTGAGCCAAGACACCTCTGATAAAAGCCCACATGCCCCTCTTGCCTGAATCTTACAAAGGGTCACCTCCAACTACCCAACATAAACTGAGCACTCACTCTGTCTGGGCCAAGCAGGCATTAGGCCAAGCACTGGGGAGTTCAAGTCCAATCAGACTTAATCCCTTCCCCATGGACCTCAATCTCAGGAGAGACCCACCTTGCCCCAGGGCCTTCTCTACTAACAGTCAATGAAATCCATCTGCAAGAGGAGCTTTACAAGTGTGTAGACAATCAAACCATAAGGGAAACAAGCTACCACAAGCTCCTTCTAAGGCAGTGGGTTGTAAAAACAACCCACTGAGGTAATGGAAGAAAAATTTTAGAACTTCTATTAATATTTATTTTTCATCAAAAAATAAAAAAATTAAGCTTTAATAGTTACTATATGGACTGACAACAGGATATGTAAACACTTCAAATATACATATATTACTAGGTTGTGTGCTTATGGCAGACAGACTGCAAAATGGCCTCCACACAATGCATATGTCTATCAAATCATCACAACGTATACTTTAAGTATCTTACAATTCTCTTTGTTAAGGAAACCTTAATCAAGCTGAAAAATAAAATAAAATAAAAATGCCCTCCAATGATCCCTGACTCCACGTATTCATGCCTTTGGGTAATGCCCTCCCCCTGAGTGTGGGTAAGACTTACAACTTGCGTCTAGTCAAAAGAATACGGGAGAGCTGATAGGTATCATTTCCACGGTTACTTTACGTTACTTATTCTTCTTTCATAGTTACGTTGGCTGAGGCTCAGAGACAGTAAGTTCCTTGCCCCAGGTACACTGCTCGTATGTGTCGGCACCAGGATTTCATTTTGGCTCCACTTGACTCTAAAGGCCCTGGTCTTTGCACCACACCCTGTTGCTCTGGGAGAGAAGGTCACCCTGTGATTACAAAACAGACTGAAGGTTCTCGGCCCACAGGGAGATCATGTGCAGAGATCATGGCTTCATTCATCCACTCCACCAACATTTACTGAGCACCCCCTATACACCAGGTCTTGTGGTGAGCAATGAAGATGCAAGGTAATGCCCATTTCCTGTTTTCACGTTGCTGAGTTGAACTGGAGAGGAATACCAGTCCATGGAGGACAAATGAATCAATAAATGAACAAATGAATATGCAGATGGACACACAAACAGTGAAGAATTAGTGTTTCCAGCACCATTAACAGTGATATATATTACAAGGTATAATGGGATCATGAGGTAAGTGATGACTGTTGGAAGAAAGGGACCATTTCAGACATCTGGAACAGCAAGTGCAAAGGCATACGTGTTCTGGCAATGGCAAGAAGTTCAGCATGGTGGCAGCCTTGGTACACTGAGGATCTGGAACAGGGAGGCAAGGAATGAGCCATGGAGGAATTGGCTCTTCTTCCTGTACACTAACCTACTGAGCTAACCACTGAAGTAGAATCATCTGAGAGGCCAGAGAGCAAACCAGGCATGAGAATTTGTAGGCTTTGGAGAACCCTATGAGTAATTCAAGAGAAGTCACACTCAGGGTCTGAGGCCAGGTTGAGAAGTCACAGGGAAACTAGAAAAACCACCAGGGCTGTAACCAAATAGAACAAACCCATACTGTGCTCCCAGGAAGGAGAGAGCAGAGGAGAGGGGATGTGGAGCCAAAAGGCAGGAAGGAGCTCCTCTAATGAAGAAGCTAAGAGCTCACATCTCCCAAATCTATCAAGCCAGGACCATGTAGAGTTCACAATTGAGGCCTTGGGCTGGAGGGCCACATGGATACAGACATGCGTGTGCACAAATGCTATAGTGAATCATACGGAAAGACAAAAGGGTCTGGCCCTCTCGATTCTTAACGCTAACAGTTTCAGAAGTGATGCACTTGCCCATTTTTTACTGTACCAAACCACAAAAAAAGTCATAAAAATATAATCTCTTACTTTCCTCTTTAGCTACTTGGCTGTTGCAACTGTTTGGTTTGGAGCAACTGTAGTTGTTGGGAGGTGGTCCATCTCTGGCGCATCAAAAAAGTATGCCTGCAGGAAGAGGAAACCCATGAGGGGAGTTAAAACACAATGGTCTGCTCGAGTGTTCTAGACTCCAAGTTAATAGGATTTCTGGGCTCTCATGGCCCCTACGTTTCCCTCTGCCACGCCTGTCATCCCACTGAACTACAACCGACTCTGTTTCTGTCCATCTCACTTACTCTACTATGAGTAACTTTTTAAAGTGTAGCCACCATTTACTGGCCACTTCCTCCACAGGACTTAATCTGCATAAGAACCCCATAAGGCTGCTGTTATTATTCTCATTTGATAAATAAGAAACGGAGGCTCAGAGAGGCTGTCATTCAATCTGGTGCACATGGCTAGCGAGTGGGAGAGATGGGTCTTTCTGACTCCAAGGGTCAGTCTCTTCATTGCCACATCACCCAGTCTCTCCTCCAGGGCAAAGACTGTGTCCTTCCTGTTCCTGTGCCACCAGTGTCTCACTCAGGGTCTGGCCCACGATGTAAACAACCCATACTTAAGGAACTGAGCTACAACAGATTGTTGCTAAACCAGGTGGCTCTTGGTAAGAACCTTTAACAAGAAAGTGCCAGGCAGGCCTGACCTCATAATTCTCCAGCTTGGAAAACAAAGGTCTGATAAGTGATGCCAGTCACCATCTACAATTTCATGGTCAAAAATCAGGAGGAGGTAGGGGCACCTGGGTGGCTCAGTCGATTAAGCGTCTGCCTTCGGCTCAGGTCATGATCCCAAGGTCCTGGGATTGAGCCCCACATTGGGCTTCCTGCTCAGCGGGAGCCTGCTTCTCCCTCTCCTCCCCGCTTGTGCTCTCTCTCACTGTTTCTGTCACTATCTGTCTCTCTGTCAAATAAATAAATAAAGTCTTAAAAAGAAAAAAAAAATCAGGAAGAGGTAGAAGAGGGAGAAAAAACAAGGAGGATCTTCCAACCTATCTAAAAGTCTGAGAATCCGACTTTAGCCCAGGAAAATACCTGGGTTGTTCAAAGTAAGGGGAGTCCCTCCCTTAATAAGTCAGGGGTCACTGCACACTTGTGACTCCCCCTTGGGAGTCATGGCATAAGGAAGGTAAAAGGACAAAAAGCCAAATCAAGAACCATTTCACCAGCTCTACTCTCTATCAGCCAGAAGGGGGCACCAAGACAACACACTGGAGCTTTCCCCAACACTCCTATTCTGTGTGAACTCTTCAACAATCCATTTCCAAGTTTCTAGCTGCGGAGCCCCCCTAGCTTGTCACATTCCCAGAGCAATCCTATTAGTTCTAAAAGCCTTCTTCCCAGGGCCCATTCCAGCACCTGCTTTCTGAGGTGGGGAAAGAATGGTCCCTAACTTAAGGGGGTAGGGGACAGGGGCCGTGCTACCAGTGTTGGGCCCCTCCAGCTATCTTGATGCTGTGTGCACAGAGCCACAAAGCGCCCCCCATGGTGCAGGAACCGTGCCTTTCTGCCAGGCTCCTGGAGGAGGCCCCCATCAGATGGAATGAGCCAAGAGGCCAGGGTCTAAACTTGGCTTTGCTAGTAACTCACACTGTAACTTTGGACGAGTCACTCCACCCTTCTGAGCCTCAGTTTTCTAATGTGTAAAACAAAGGGATTAGAAAAAATTGCCTCTAAGGGTAACTATAATTCTATGACTCGTTAGTTCATTAATGCCACAAATACTTAGTAACAACCACAGTTACCATTTGGGGAGTGCCTACTGTGCACCAGGCACATACTAGATCATTAATAATAGGCAATGTTATCCCCATTTTAAAGATAAGCAAGTGGAGGCTCAAAGAGATGGAGATTTTCCCAAGGCTACACAACCCTGTGTCTGAGCTAGGGTTTCAATCCAGCTGTGTCCGGCTCCAAAGTCTATGTTCTTCTCTTCTGTGGGGTGGCCTGCAATTTGGCACCTAGCCTACGCCCCGTCTAGATATAGGCACTGTGGAGGCGTCAGGATGAACCATCAGGTTTTCTAGAAGTCAGGCCAGGAGTGTCACCTGGCAGAGCGAGGGCACGGGTGGTCGACTATCAGCAGTAACCCCCGCAAACACAGGCTTGTACACCTCAAACCTGCCAGCCAAGGACGTACCCTCCTGGGCTTCCTTAGTCATCCCCGCCAGGAGTGTCCCGCTACCAGCAGCGCACAGCCGTGAGCACCGAGGGGCCCTCAGCAGGTAGAGTGCTGGCATACGCTTCAGAATACTGAGGCAAAAATGTCAATCTGTGCTCCGCAGGGCAGAGTGGGAAGCCAAGCTGTCTGGGTCGGCCAGTGCCCCTCCGCTGCCAAGTCTTCTCCTTGCCCTTCCAATAAAAATAATGTCTTGCATGTGTTCGGCTTGTGTTGTTCACGTTGCACATAACATTCAATCCTTGCAAAAGTAAAGATGCTCCTGCAGCTCCCTTTTCTAAGTGAGGAGGTGGGGTCCAGAGAGGGGAAATATCCAAAGCAGGGGTGAGGGAGCTGGGACCAGACCCCCTCTCCTCACCTCTGCTTCAGCCTCTTGCACTGCACACCTCCAGGAGAGGACAGAGGAGGCCAGCTCTGGTGTGGAGACCAAAACCGCAGGCACAGAGGGCCCCTGGCTAAACACCTGATCATGGAATAGTTCCCTTCTTCGCGGAGGAGAAAACTGTGCCTCTCCTCCAAGAAAGGGGTCCTGCACCTGCAATTCCCTCCCTGCTCCATCATCCAGTGTGCCTGGCTCCCCGGAGTCCCCTGGAAGTGGACCAGGCAAGGCCTTCTCTCCTGCCTCCTTGCCTCCTCCAACTTCCCAACCAGGTGTACAATGGGAAAGATGTTCTGGAGAGACGGTGGAAGATGCAAGCGAGAGGCACCCATGAAAGGGCCCTGGCAGCTTCAGATGACACAGGGCTCTTCTAGTAACTTCTTTACATCTGAAGAACCCTTCACAGTATATGAAGGGCTCTCACAGCCATCTCACCGAGCCTCACAAAAGCCCACAAAATATGAATCTCCGTGACAGAGGAGGAAGCCAAGTTTCTGAGAGAGGGCGCTCACCTAGGCTCGCAGTGCTAAGCCCCATGCAGTACTTTCTGTTTCCCTCTTATTGCTCTCTTCCAGCAAGTTCCTGAGCAGCAAGATGGGCAGGTAAGTCCCAATGTCAGTGTCATTTATCCCAAAAGGAGGAACAGGCATAGGAGGTAAAAGAGCCTGCCACGCGTACCAAATGAAATAGGTTCTTAATAATACTCTTACCACCCCCGCCCCCGCTCCAAAGTCTGATTGCCATGCTCCTCTCGATCCCTTACACAACTGAACAAGGCAACACTTCTTCCTGCCTCCTTTTCTCCATCAATGCCTCAACTAAGTGTATAGGGAAGAAAATTCAAGGGAGACATGGGGACACACCAGTGAGACAGCTACAGTGAGAAAGGATGTTCTTCCTTAGCAGACAGAAGGGTCAGGAGGGTCGCAGCAGCATTACAAGGGATCAGCCCAGGGGCTCCAAGTGCCAGAAATTAATGGTGTCACTCTGCCGTGAGTCAAACCAACAGTCCTCTAGAGGTCTCAAGAATTTAAAGCTCAGACACGTGGAAAGTATATGTAAACCAGCTCTGTGTCTCAGAACCTGGCACTTTTTATGAGACTCGTTCAATGATCAAGTATTGGGATCTTATGCATGACCCAGGCTGTCTAGACAAAAATATTATAGATCAAATGGTGCCAAAGAAATACTTACTCCCACAACTGTAAAACCTGACCAAGGGTCTGGACACGGGTGACACGATGGATATCTTCCTGTGGGCACGTCCTTTCCTTCATCAGTGACCTTAACATTCCTCGACCTGGAGTTCTTTAAAAACCTGTGTCAGGCCTTGTTAAGGTCATGGACCAAAATATTTGTGTACAATGTGCACAGAAGATAGAAAATCATATCTCCTTAGGATCAAGGGAAAGGGACCTAATTTATGGGTATTTGTGGGACAAGTTCTACATTAAATATTTTATATGTACTATTTTATTTTATCCTCAGAACAACCCTATGTGGCAGGAAATACTATACCCATGTTACAGATTAAGACGTTCAGATTTAGGTACCATGGCCAAGCTCATACAGCCAGTGACTAACAGAGCCGGTGTCCGATCTGGGCCTGTCCAACTCAAAAGGACATGCTCTCCCTAAAAAGACACCCAAATACATGAACTCAAAAACTCTTTTAAACATTACTCACCTTAAAAATATCTCCCCTTTCCTAATTTGACTTCATCCTCATGCTTTCCACCTATGAAACTTTAAATTTCAAAACTCTTTCTAGGTATGTGCAGAAAACCAGCAAAGACATCCAAAGGCAGAACTCCCCCACCAAGCCCTGCACCCCAACCTATTATAGACACTCATCCAGCTCCACTTCCTTTGGCCAGACTCTGAATTGTAACCAAATTTCAGAAATTTGGTAAAGCCAGAGATTACCATCAAATTCTCATAAATTTACCACTTCTCATTTAGGACAGTCTATTTAAAACAATATTCATTTTATGCAGCCAGTTTTAAAGGAATCATTGTGAATAACAGCTTGGGGTCTTTCAGCATTTGTATCTAAAGCACACAGGAAGGGGTGCCTGGGTGGCTCAGTTGGTTAAGCGTCTGCCTTCGGCTTAGGTCATGGTCCCGGGGTCCTGGGATCGAGCCCCGCATCGGGCTCCCTGCTCCACGGGAAGCCTGCTTCTCCCTCTCCCACTCCCCCTGCTTGTGTTCCCTCTCTCGCTGTGTCTCTCTCTGTCAAATAAATAAATAAAATCTTTAAAAAATAAAAATAAATAAATAAATAAAAATAAAGCACACAGGAAGATCACAGGAGTGAGACCATACCAAGCAGCCCACAGAAAGCAGCGTGTGAAGCAACACAATTGTGCCAATTGTGGCCAACGCGATGCGCCGGTTATCCTCACGAACAGCTGGCCAAAATGTCATTGCCAAGACAGAGCCTGAGATCCCCAGGGCAATCATGACTAGAATCCAACGGACAGCCTTCTGGGGGATAATCCACAGTACCTGAAAGAAAAGGAGGAAGAGGAGGGCTTTACTGGCAGCATCTGGTCATTCCAGGCCCCTGTGCTTATGAAGTCCCCTGAGCCCATCGGCAGCTGGGCGCCCGCTGCCACTGCGGCCTCTCAGTCTCGGCCTGGAGGAAACACCCCGGCACGCAGACTGAGATGAATGCTTTCAGAATGAAGGGCTGGAGGTCCAGCAAAGGTACTTGGCTCCCTATGCCCCTTCCTGCTGAACTTCTAAATTCAAAGGGTATTTTTCAGGTGCCCATCAGTGTTGGGCTAGAAATGATGACGCCGGCTGAATTTTTGAGACGCCCAGGGCGTCACTCAGCGTGAGTGTGGTACTTACTGCTGTGGGGATATAAATGAAGAGCGAATATCCATAGACGCACACAATCTCCAAAAACGAATAGGAAACGATGTTCATAACTTTGCTGTTTCTCCACATGAGGAAACCCCAGAGTGCGAGAGGAACCAGCCAGGCATAGGCATAGATGATGGTGGCCGCTATGGACACTGAGGATGATAAGACAAAGGTAGTAGTCCCCATGTAATCAGGCCTTTAATTACTACCAGCGCACTTCTCATACCTTCCTGGGCTTATTTCCTAGCCTGTCCACCTGCTTCACCGGATCATGGGATCGTGTCTTACTATGCCTGGCACAGTACCTGTCCCAGAGCAGGCACCCAGTCCCGGTCCTGAATTGGTGAATCTTCAACACTGTCTTTGTGGTGATGACCAGTGGTCTCTCCTACGGCTTTTATAATTTGTTTAATAACTAACAACTCACAGTATTAAACAACTGCATTATGCAACTGAAAGACTTCAGAGGGCCTCACTACAAGTGTTTAAACATACCAAGCATTTCAACCAAGCGAAAGCCAACTCTCCCCCTAGAAGAACACACCCTTTTCCCTCGTCTAACAAGAGCTGAGGCTGATTTCTTGCACAAATTTTTATTAAAAATGCCCTGGGTACAGATTAACTGGCTCTGCACGCTATTTAGAGGGCCTTCTATTGGTCAAAATGTTCCTCACATTTGCTTTCTTCACTAAGTACTTCTGTGTCTGTGCTGGAAATGCTGCATAGCAGCTCCTCAGAAGAGCAACGTTCAGCATTTTACTGTCCCTTCCTCCTCTTCCAGTAGCACCATGCTCCAGAGGCTTCGTTTTCCCTCTTCTGGAGTGGACAACCAGTAAGTGTGGGTAAGCCCATGGCACCAGCCCTTCCTACAGGAAAATCAGTGGGTGATGCACTTAACACTCTTGGCAAGCACAAAGGCACCCCAGGCAATGTAGTCAGACTCTGGTTAAGACATATGATTGGCCAAAACATTTTTAGCTCCTAGAGGAGTTTTTTCACATTTGGAACTCCCTCATTAAACCAAATGTCATTCTGCTAATATACTGCCTTTTTTTTTCTTTTTTTTATAACTAAAGGAAGGGGGAGAAAATTACCTCTATGCCTACAGCCATCCCCTAGGTGTCAGGCATTACACTGAGTGCCCTTTTGAGAGGCAACACTGTGTAATAGTCAAGGGCACAGACCACACATGCGGACTTCATGGATTCTAATCCCAACTCTGCTAACTAACCCTGAGTAGTGAATTACTTAACTTTCCTGCCTTAGTTTCCTCATCTGTAAAATGGGAATAAACATAGTATACCTTATAAGATTACTAGAATTAAATGAGTTAAAACAAATAGAACACTGACTGATAAATAATAAATGCTCAATCAAGAATTAGCCTTTTATATTATTAACCGATATGTAAAGACATTATTTCACATAATCTACATCTTCATTTTAGAGATGAGGAAACAGGATCAGAGAAGCTAAGTGGTTTGGTCAAGGTCAAATAATTAACAAGTGGTGGAAGCAGGACCTGACTTTGTGGATGTATACTCTTTACATAAAATGGGAAAATGTTTAGGGGCGCCTGGGTGGCTCAGTCGGTTGGGCATCCGACTCTTGGTTTTGGCTCAGGTCGTGATCTCGTGGGTCATGGGACTGAGCCCCATGTTGGGCTCTGCACTCAGCAGAGTCGGCTTGAAAATTCTCTCCCTCTGCCCCTCCCCCCCCTCATAAATAAATCTTTTAAAAAACGGAAAAATGTTTATTGAGAGAGTCAACGACTATCTTACTGGTACATTCATATCATGACTCCCTTATACTGCCCAGCCAAGGAGGATAAGAAAAGATAAAAAGCCTCCTGAGCTTCCAGACCCTCAGGCAGTGTCATTCCCTCCTCTGTCAATACAGCCTATACATACCTCTGATACAGGAATTAATACATCCCACTTACAACAACATTCATTTACCTGTCTTTCTTAACCATTGAACAACCTGAAGGCAAGGTCTGTATCTCACGAATAACATTTATTGAGTTAAACTCAAACCAGAGTCATTTGACAAATGGGGCTGTAACTGAATTCAGGTCTGACTCCATGTAAATGGGCCTGGAAGGTAAAAGGAAGGATACATGGAGACACACACACACACACACACACACACACACACACACACACACGGAGGTAACTGCATATCTCCCTATACACACATATATGTGCTTGTGTAGGAATTCTTTTTTGTATAAGGCATTATTCCAACCTCTTTACACACATCAACTCTATTCTCACAATAGCCCAATAATATAGGTATTATTATTCCTATTTCACTGATAAGGAATATGAGGCCAAGAGAGATGAACTAATTTGCCTGACACGTAGAAGCTAATGAGTGATGGAACTGGAACTTGAAGCTAGTGACCTGGTTCTGCAGACTGTGCTCTTAGAGGGTCTATCTACAGCCTCTAAACAGGACAGCAAGCAGGCAGCGGGGCGGGGGGAGGGCTGGGGAAGAGGAGGGAAGGAGAGAATGGAGGAAGTGCACACTTCAATCGTCAAACTCCTACAAAGCCAAACTTCCTCACTGAGGGGTGGCTGTCATCTGCAAGTCCCTAAAAAGCTATTTGTTGCTTTATTTGTATAATTATCCAATACTGCCACAAGAAAGGAAGTTTTAAAACAATGTCATCCACAAGCCCATCTCTAGGACAAACTCCTTTCTACATTCTCCCTTCGAGACCCTGACCATTTGCAGACTTCTCTGTAACAAAGTTGCCAACAGCACAGGCATAATTTTGGATTATCAGTTTTCCACATTGTTCTAAGTGCTTCATAATTAGTGGCTCGGACCCAGCTAGTTGAGTCACCATGACTTAAATAACAATGCCCCTATTGTTTCCAACATCTGGATAATACAAATAATGCTACAATGGAGACTTTCATGCACACTGCTTTTACTTACTTTGCACATTTTTCTTTGGACGAATTCCAATTGCTATTTGGCCTTGCCTTCCAGCTTTCCAAAAGATATGTGCATTCACAATATTGTGCATGTACTCAAGGCCACTGAATGGTATACTTTAAGAGAGTTAAGATGGTAAATTTTATGGCATGTGTATTTTACCACAATAAAAGATTATGTAGATTTATATAGATGGGTGGTAACTCTGAGATGATAAGTATGTTTGAATCCTTAAATACAAAAAGCCAGGGCTGTAGCACCTAGAGACAGGGGCCCAAGGGCACAGTAAAAGGAACTCATGGTTACAAATTGAAAGCATTCCAAATGAGTCAAGCTATTCACCAACCTTTTCGGAATTCGGGTACATAATGGTATGTCTTCTCTCCCAGATGAATTAAGAAGTTGGAAAGATTCCCACTAATTGCTATGGCAAAGACCAGTGTGGCACATATCCAAAAGGGGCCTGCAAAGAAAACCAGAAAATTCAGTCAAGAAAATGAAGCACTGGCTTCTGGATGCTTACAGAGTAATTTCTTCTCTCCCTCGCCCTATTCATGTAAGCAAGGGAAAATGAATTTTAGATGCAATCAATACTCATTTAATAGGAATTTTCTTTTTTAAAAGGTCAAACACACAACTCAGCAATTAGGTGCATTGAAGACAGGGGAGACTGAATGAAAAGGCCAAAACACCTTCCACAATTAGGTGAATAAAGACACTAATTTGTTTATAGCTTCTTTAATTAGAGGATCGTCCAAAAAATCGTGGACATTTTGTTAAATCTTTGCCATCAGGATACAGGAAGCAAAGGTTACTTCCTTTATCTAAGTGCCAAATGTTAATTAATGCCCAGAGAAAAATGAATCAGGCAGGTCCTTCTGCAGTCTGAATGGAAGAGTAGGGTGAGCAGAACACTTTAGAGAAGAGTTAATTTAATCTACCAGTTCATCATGGGTGTGTGTGTACATGTAATGTGTGTTTAAGGCTTTGTTTTTCTAATGAAAAAGTAATACATGCACATGGTTCAGTGTTCAAAGGGTACAAAAGGGAATCTAGAGAAAAATAAACTTCCCTCTCTCTTTGTTCCCTAGCTCTATGCATTTCTCCTCCCCAGAGCTTGCCACCATAACCTGTTTCTGGCGAATCCTGCCAGAGATTTCTATATACCTATAAACAAAGGCATATTTGGTGTGTGTACAGATGATAACATACATATATATACACATATATCTTGCTCTGTACTTGACTATTTTCACTTTAATATATCCTAGATTTTCTACCATAGCTATTCATAAAAATCAGCTCATTCTTTTTTTTTTAGTATTTTATTTATTTATTTGACAGAGAGAGAGACAGCGAGAGAGGGAACACAAGCAGGGGGAGAGGAAGAGGGAGAAGCAGGCTTCCCGCCGAGCAGGGAGCCCGATGCGGGGCTCGATCCCAGGACCCTGGGATCATGACCTGAGCCGAAGGCAGATGCTTAAGGACTGAGCCACCCAGGCGCCCCTCATTCTTTTTTTAATGGTTATCAAACATCCCACTGAGGGAATGAGTATACCGTGCTTTGCAGATCCCTTTCACTATTTCACTTGATTTCATGAATGCCACCCTTGTTTCTCCCTATCTAGAAAAAGTACTACGTAGAACAAATAGAATTTTTAAAATGAGAGATTTCTAATAAATCTTAGGAAATTAATTTTTCAATTTCACCAATGTTTTGCAACACCTTCGGGAATAACTACAGGCACCTTGACATATCATAAAATTCGGAAAATTACTGTGTTGTGTTGCGGGAGATGCCTGGCAGAAATGGGTTAGCGCTTCTCCAAGCCAGGCTGGCTCCTGAAGGCGGGAGCACAAGCAATGGACTGGGATGCTGCCAAGTCACCAATAGTGCTTTCCACAAATCGCTGCTGACTCACTAGCCTGCAGGCTATCTGCTACCGGACTAAATCTTGTTCACTTTATTATTCTGAGTCCCGATCATACAAAAGATGCAACAAGCAAACGAGACCAAAACACCTCCTACAATTTAACAATCAAAAAATCCCCCAAAGCTCTGTTGAACAAATGAACAAAACTGACCATGTGTTGTCAATGGGCTGAGACCATACAAGCATATGACCAAAGTATTATAGTTCCTATAACTAGAAAGCAGAGAACATCATATCCTATTGGCCATTACCTGTAAGAACCCACTGTCCCCTAGACCCTGGGCCGGGTGCTGGGGACACCATGATGCACAGCAGACAGTCCCTGCGTCCTGGGAAGCTCGAATCCCAGAGACACACAACCACCCACACATCCCGGGGCCTGCCAGTTTGCTTTACATGCCTTCTCTCTTCCTCTTTCCTGCCAAATTCCTACTCTCTTTACGGGGTGGGGTGGAAGGGAGCCTTAATTTAGTTTGCATTATGCATTTTTATATTATAAAATATTTCCAACATACAGGAAAGTACAAAGAATGATAAAACAAACACTGGTGTACCCATCATGCTACTTTCTCAAGTCTTTCTAACGGGGTCACACTACTCACATCCTTCTATGACATACTTTTTTTCATTTATCTTTGTTCTGAGATTTTATCCACATTGATGCTTGTAGATATCATTCATTCCTAAAAACCAGAGATTCTGTGCATGAACACACAGCAATTCACGTCTCTCTTCTCCTGATGATGAATATGTGGTTGCTTCCAAATCTCTGCTATATAAGCATTGCTGCTGCAGTGAATATTTTTCTATGTCTTCTTTTATATTTGCGAGTTTCTCTAAGACCACACATCTAGGAGTGGAACTGCTAAGTGGTAGGGTATGAGCATCTTCAAATGGCTCCCATTCGCATACCACTTGTGTCCCTACCAGACATACAAAAGTTTCCACTGCTGCACACGTTCTTGACAACTCTCAGCATTAATGTTTCTGAAGATCTGACTTAGTATGTCACTCCTATACTCAAACCCTCCAATGGCTTCTCAGGTAAGTAAAAGCTGAAGTCCACCGTGACCACGATTCTACGTAACTTACCCCTGCATCGTGTCTCTCAGACCTCATCTATCAGGTCCCTCTCCTCCCTCTGGCCCAGTCACACCAGTCTCTGCTGGCCTCTGAGCATACCAAGCAAGTTCCTGCCTCAGGGCCTTTGTGCTTGCTGTGCCCACGGCTTCAGATGCCTTCCCCTTAGATATCCACATGGATTGGTCCCGATTCCTCTAGGCCTTTACAGTAAATTCACCTCTTAAATGTTTTTTTTTTTTTTTAATTTCAAATCCACCCACCCAAACTTTCCTGTCCTTTAAAATTTTCACCTTGGCATTTATCACTTGCGTATATATTTGACTTATTTTTATATGTTTATTGTTACGCTCAGTAGATTCTAAACTACCTCAAAACAAGCATTTTTTCTCACTGCTCTATCTCCGGTGCCTAGAAGAGTTAAGTACTCAGTATTTGCTGAATTAACTGAACAAATGAAAATAAGTCAATTTGTACATGTTAGCTAAAATGATGAGCATAATATATCTTGTTTTGTTATTTCCCTGATTACAGGTGGAACTCAGCATCTTTTCATGTATTTCTTGGCCATTTGCGTTTCCTTTTCTGTGAATTGCTCATTTTCCCCTAGAACTTATAGTTGGTTTTATTCTTATAATTGGTAGGAGTTCTAAACATATTCTTGCTTTTCATCCTTTGCTGCTTATGAGAATTACAAATATTATCTCTGGCCTGTGGCTTACTTTTTTTTTTTTTTTACTTTGCTTATGGTTAATTTGGTGGTGTAGAAATTTTATATTTTAGTTTACATGCAGTCAAACTCATCGACCTCCAATTCTGCAGACTGCTGCTTCTGTCATTTTCCTGACCACTGCACCCCACCTCCCCTCCAAGGCCCAGTCCTCTCTGTTATCAAACACTTGACCTATATAGTACCTCCCTTTTTCTTAACCACGTCTATGAGCTCATGAGGTTAATAGTGTTGTGAAAGAAACAGGCTTTGGGTTCAAATCCTGGCTTTGCCATGAGAGGCAGCATAACAGAATGATGAATATGGATTATGAGCCATGGTGCTGATTTGAAAACTGAGCTCAGCCACTTACTCGCTACATGATCTTAGGCAAGATACTGACTTCTGCACGACTCAGTGTCCTCATCCATACAACGGGATAATAAGAGTACCGACCTCATTACGTTGGGGTTGTCATGAGGATGAAGTGAGTTAATATAGGTTCTTCCCCAATAACAGGGCACATAGTAAGCACTGAGATTGTTTGCTCGTGTCATTTTCATTGCTAACTCTGTGACTATGGGCAAGCTATCCTCCCCAAACTTCCATTTTCTCTTTTGGAAGACAAGGCTACCTTGGAGTGTGGGAAATAAAACTGTAAAACAGTAACACAGGGCTGAGCTCTTGGCACTTGTGAGGCGCTCGGCAGATGGTCATTCTCTCGTTTCTCGCTCCCTGGGGGTGGAGACCATGACTGTATCTTTGAACCCTCAGTCTGTAGCACAAAGTAGGGTGCTCAAAATTTCTTGGCATGCTTCCTCGGTGCCAAGCGCTGACAACATGGATCACTTAGACACATGGCCTGTCTCTCAAGATCTCAGGCTAGAAGAATGAACAAGAGAGCTGGAGACAAACCGCCTTGGCAACACTTAGACGAGAGGCATAGGCCAAGGCATGCTCTGCACGCGGTGCTCCCTGGTGCTCCAGGCGCTGCGCCGACATCTGGCTGGAGCTGCCGGTGTCGCCAGAGAGGACCTACATGGAAGGAGCCTCTCCCCAGCCTCCCCCACAGCCGTTCCCGCTTTCTCTGGCTCCCAGTATTGGACATCCATGCCACGTGATGAGAAGGTTCTGTAGCTTAAAACCACCAGGAGAACAGAATAAAGATGGGCTTTATGGAACACTAAGCTCGTTCTAGTTCTACTTTTTTGGTTTCGACACCTCTCAGCCTTGATTTCCTCACAGGGCAAAGAGGGATAATCACACTTAATCTAGAGTGTTGTTGAAAGGACTAACCAGTGTACGCAGTCATTGGCACATGGTAGATCCTCACAAATTCCTTCTCCTCTTATAATCAACACGTGGACAAAATACATAACATATTACTCTAATACTTACTTAGGATTGAGCATACATTTTCCTAAGCCTCATCGAGCTTCGGTTTCTTCATTTGAGAAATGGGGATCATGACACCTACCCCAAAGGGTGCTGCAAGAATTAAAGGTGACCACGTACACAGTCTTTTGCAGAGCACCTGCACACAGAAAGCCCCAGAGCCGCTGGCTCTCTTCTCCTCTCCCTTCAAACACGGGAGGTCACGCCTGCAGGAGCCCTTTGCCTGAGGAGTGCTGAGTGAACCTCTCACCTATCCCAGATAGCGGGGAGCTCAGGGGTGACAGTCATCCCCCCACCCATCGCTCTTACAGACTTCCGGTGCCACTGGTTGAGTCCCAAGGGGAGCCAGCTCATCAGAGGGCACAGCTGGGACTCAGCACACGAATGAGTAAGTGTGACAGTAGCTTCCCCACACTTAGCCCCACCATCAAATCCTCTAAAGTTAAAATCAACAATCTCCTCTTAAAGTGACTTAATTCATCTCAAGTTTGTAGTGTCATTTGAACTTTCAAAAGACATACTAATTACTTGTCATTGCGGCATTACTGTAACACAGAATTGCATTTTCCCCAAAATGTTTTGCAAAGGTTGTTACTGACGTTCAGAAGAGCTGAATGAAATGTTGCATGCCCCGCCAACAGCACTTCTCCGACTTTCCAGGCAACCTGCGGGCTCACCTGAATTCAACCAGTACACGGTAAAGAATCAAAACAGTGGAAACAAATAATGCAATATATGTTAAGAAAAAAAAAAGAAGAAGAAGATAGCAGGAGGGGAAGAATGAAGGGGAGTAAATCGGAGGGGGAGATGAACCATGAGAGACGATGGACTCTGAGAAACCGAGGGTTCTAGAGGGGAGGGGGGTGGGGGGATGGGTTAGCCTGGTGATGGGTATTAAAGAGGGCACATTCTGCGTGGAGCACTGGGTGTTATGCACAAACAATGAATCATGGAACACTACATCAAAAACTAATGATGTAATATATGGTGATTAACATAACAATAAAAAATTTAAAGAAAAAAAAGAATCAAAACGGTGCTATACATACCATAAAGATCTGGATTGCTGCGGATATACAGCCTCACAAAATTTTTTCCTGGTATTGGCAAAAGAGACCCTTTTATTCTGTCAAAGACCTGGAAAATAACACAGCAGTAAGTCTACTGAAGATTTCTTTAAAGTTTAATAAATTCAAATACTGCAAAATTGAAACTCCATTATTACAGCTTTTACGATGAGAGTATTTTCAAATGCCAATAACCTTTTACTTTTGTAAGATTATATCCAGTATACAAAAGCTTTCACGTTATGTGACTGTTTAACCATAAATGACACAAGTCTCCATTACGGGTGAAGGGAAAGGTGAAACTAGTTTACAAACCTGGTAAGTGTCTACATCAAAGAATGTTTGATAGTATTCAAATGTCCAGAAGGGGGAGCTTTTCTTCTGTCCAGCAAGTAACTGTCAGAGGTAAAATAAAATACAATGAACACAGAAGTAATTTCCTTCTATCGGCTATGCAGACACTCGGAGCTGATCTAATGGAAAATCAAGATGCATGGAAGACGGAGCTCTTCCGCATTCAGCAACTTTGCAACAGCCATGCCCCCAGCTCAGCCTGATAGAAAACAAGCATGCGTTTTTGAAGTCACACAAAAAGGTTTCAATTCCTGGTCTGCCCACCAGGGAGAGACCTGCCAAATCACTAGACTGTTCTGGAAAAAGTACAGCGAACAAGATCCACCTCATAGGATTATAGGAAGGACTGGCTCAGTTCTATATGATATGTACCAGGTATAATAACATATACATGCATATATACACACGAACATGTACAGATGGGAGGCAGTCAGTGTAAGTGTCTTTTACTCCCCTACCTCCTCAAGATTCTTACGCTATCACCACCTGAATTCTCAAAAATCTGATCTAGTGACTTATTCTCATGTACTAAAAACTTAAAATATGGAAATATTCAAAATATGAATATTCATTTTTTGAACATGGAGTTCCACAAAGAGCACTCGGCACCCAAGAGCTAAACTATTTAATAAGCCTGTGGACTCACTGCTATAAACTGGGTGCTCCTCTAGGGTATCACAGTCATGATTGCATCGATAAAATATTAATAGAAATACTATTTTTCTGGAACACACCACAGTACACACAGAAATAAATCTTTGTGATCAAAACCAGCCACCTGATATTCTCCCTCACCCCTTTCCCACCAAGTCCTATGGAGTCCACCCCCTTATCACCTGTGTCCAACTCTAGTTCTGGCTTCATCACTTCTAGCCTAGACCACCTCCACGGTCTCCTACCTGGCCTTCTGGCCTCCAATCCAGCTCCTTCCAATTTATACCCCACAAGGCCACGGTATTTCTATCTTTAAACTCAGCTGTTCATATCATCTAAAATCTTTCAGTAGCTCCTAATAGCTTTCAGAATACAATTCCTCCTCATGCAGTTGGGTCCTTGCCAAGCCGTGCAGCCTCATCTGTCTTCACCTATATTTTGCTCCCTCTGTATGTGAAGATGGGAAACATACTGTGCAGACCACGTTCTTCTGGACTCTTTGGCTTTACCAAAACAGTTCCTTTGCCTAGATCACCCTTCTCTGCCTTCTTCCTTTGGCTACGTCCTACCCTTGTGCCAAGATTCAGTTAGGGGTCACTACCTCCACAATGCCCTCGCTCTGCTCCTGCAGCCCCGGTGCCCCCTCCACCGGCACGTTTCCCGTGTAACAACGGCCTGGGTGCCTGCCTATCTCTCCCCCTGCCCCCACCCCGAGGGGATCTACCTTTGGGCTGACACTGCCCGGCACTCTATGTGACACACAGGAGACAGTGAATAAATGCATGAAGAAGCTTTTTAAAACGTTAAAAGGAAAAACCAGTTTCAAAGGGCGGTTCAAACCTCTGTTTTGTCAGAGTCATCGTTTCCCAGCAACTCATCATCCTCTTCTCCTCCGGAGCCTCTGGAGAGTCCTGGTTGGTGTGTCGGGCTCTCACCAGGGCCCTCGATGTGTATTGTAGTGGTACCTGGGTTCGCTGCTGAAGTGGCTGCATCACCAAATTCTGAAAGCAACCGGAGACCTTACCCACGTTGGAAACGCTAAAAGGCAAGCCGTTACAACCCTGGCTTTGCTACAGATTCTACTTGATACAAATGGCAAAAGGCTCTGGAAAAATACTCATCTAGAAATCAAGCTGACTTAGAAAAAGGATTACGAAGACAACACAATTTGGAGTCAGACCTGGATTTTAGTCCTGGCTCAGCTACTTACTAACGAAATGAGCCTGAGTAAGTAATTCAACCTCTGTTAGCCTCGGTATTCTCATCTATGCAATGGGGAGAACAATATTTACCTTCAGAGAGTTGGGGGAAAGTTAGAAATCTTACCCAAGTAAAGTCCTTAGCAGAGTGGCTGGCCCAGAGCGAGTACCCAATCTAAACCTCTCTTCTTTGATTCAAGTTCAAAAAATTATAATGGAAGTTATTTTTCCCAAGAAGTCCTATGTAATCACTATGGAAAATATAGGGTCAAAAGTGAAAGTAGAAACCATAGAATAAATATCACTCACAGTCTTACTATATAAAGGCAAACACTAATAATTTTTGGTATGCTTCCTTTTCTCTATATAGTGAATCCATAAGATTCATGCCAGTGATGAACATTCATTCATTCAACAAATATTTACTGCATGCCTACAATGTACCAAGTATTGATCTAGGAAGTGATACTATATAAACAATTTTGTATCCTGCTCTGTTGAGTGGAGACTATAGAAAAATGACTTTTTCATATCAGTCTTTACCATAATCATTTTCATAACTACATAATATTCCACAACCACATAATATTCCATCAGCTGGGAGATGGAGGGAGTAGGAGAGACTGTAAGTTGGATGTGTGGGGTGTTTCCAACTTTTCATTATAAAAATAACACTGTTAAAAGTGCGTGTATAGAAAAAGCTCTTGAGTTATTATTTATGAACATCTATCACTGCAATCACCAGGATAAAGGGTGCAAACTATTCATAAGGCTCTTAAGCCATAGTGATAAACTGCTTTCCAAAAGAACCTCAACTATTCACATCCACCAGCAATGATCGAGACTTCCTGTCTCTGGGTATTCTAACAAACTTTATTTAACTGCTTTTTTTTTTAAGATTTTATTTATTTATTTGAGAGAGAGAATGAGAGAGAGAGAGCACGAGAGGGAAGAGGGTCAGAGGGAGAAGCAGACTTCCTGCTGAGCAGGATGTGGGACTCGATCCGGGGACTCCAGGATCATGACCTGAGCCGAAGGCAGTCGTTCAACCAACTGAGCCACCCAGGCGCCCTTTTTTTTAGAAATTTTTTTAAAAGATTTTATTTATTTATTTATTTGAGAGAGAGCCTATTTAGCTGCTCTTGAATAAAACTCAAGGCAGCTCTGATCCTTGGAAGGATTAAGGAAGAGTACCAGCAGGGCACTATTATAAAACTACAAGCACCTCGGTGGCTCAGTCGGTTGAGTGTCTGCCTTAGGCTCAGGTCATGATCCTGGGGTCCTGGGATCAAGCCCCACGTCCAGCTCCCTGCTCCGCGGGGAGTCTGTTTCTCCCTCTCTCTCTGCCCCCCACCCCCCGCTCATGCACTCACTCACTTTTTCGCTTGCTCTCTCAAATAAATAAATAAAATCTTTAAAAAAATTAAAAAATTAAAACTACAAGCATAGCACGAATCCTACAACTGGCAGTAGGATGGGGCTCTAGGGTAACTGAGCCCACTCTTATTGTCTTTCAGCTATGTAAACAGTTTTTCGTAGAGAACCAGAGTGACTAAAATTAATTAGGTGGCTGATGTGTAACAATTAGCCAAGCCTCAGTCTGCAATGTTCAAGCAGCATGGTGCTCTGGAGTGAGATGGTCCTTTGTTAAAGTTCAGACTAACACTCCGTCACCTCGGGCAAATGACTCTATCTCTGAATCTCTGTTTCTAAAATGTAGATAACACCTATCTTACAGAAAGATTTTGAGGATGATATGAGATAATAATAAATATTGTCATAGCTATCATTTATTGACTGGACAGGACACCAACATTTAAAAAGATGGTCACAACTAAGAGAATCAGACAGAGGAAGATACACTTAAGTCTCATGTTTAAAAAAAACAGAAGTTCAGCAGGCAGAAGGGCAGGCCAGAGGAAGGAGGAGTGGGTCACTTTAGAGGAAGAAAGGTCAAAGATGTTCAAAGGAGGATGATAACTCATCTATTTGCCAGGAGTAGGAAAGGCTTCTTAGAGAAGATGCCATATGAGAAGGACAGCCGGAGGCGGGGTGGGGAAGGCACCACACACAAAAGGCGTAGGATGAGCAAGAACTGGAAGACCGAAAAAGGTGTGACCTGTTCGAGAGACAGCATGGTTTGACTGGAATGTAGCATGTGTGTACCTCTCATAGGATGACTGTCCACACGTTCTGCTCCACATGAGTTATTTGTGTCCGTCTCAGCTCCTTGAGGGCAAGCCTGGTGTGTTCTTTATTTCCGTCACCAACATTCTCTGCTTCTACATGCTGGCATAGCCTGCGCTGTCTGTGGTCTCTGTTCCTTTTCTGACACAGTGTCTTCCACCTGAAGGGTCCTGATCTCCACTTTCTCACCGGAACTACCATCTACCTCGGGAAAGCCTCCCACGACCCCCACGGTATCCTGCATTCTCTCCTAAAGAGCAAAATCCTAAACACCACTTACCACGTCCTCTGTGATTTGGCTCCTGCCTCGTCTCTAACCTCACCTTGTGCTAGTCTCCTCCCGCCATCTGTGCTCTGGCACATTGGCCTTCCTTCAATTACTTGGAAAAAAAAGTCAAACAAACCTCCTCCCGCCTCAGGTGCTTTGCATATGCTGTTCTCTCTGTTGAACTTTCTCACACCGTACTCAGAAAGGATGACCAAGGAGGGCCTCTCGAATGAACCGAGATTTGAAGACTGAGGGATCAAGCCACGTGGCTATCTGGAGAAAGAATTCCCAAACAGAAAGACGACACAAAAGCCCTAAGCTGTGAGTGTACCTGGTGTCTAGGAGGGATAGTGACAGGCCCATGTGGGAAGGGCAGAGGGAGAAAGGGCAAGAGTAGCAGGAGAGATCAGAGGGCATGGAGGGCTGGATCATGTAGGGCCTCCCAACACAGAAAAGGCTCTGGCTTTCATACCTAGTGACATGGGAGCCACTGGAAGGTTCTGAAGGAATGACATGATCTGATTTCGTTTTAAAGGACTACTGGCTGCAAAATACAGACTGCAGGGGGCAAGGGGGGAAACAGGAAGACCAGAGGAAGGTAAGGGCTATAATCCACACAAGAGGGGATGGTGACCTTGAGCAAGGTGAGAGGCAGAGGTGATGAGAAGTGGTTAGAGGCTGGATGTACGCTGAAGATGGAGGCGGACTTTTCTTTAAACATCTCATCTCTTCCTCAGATAGCACTGGCTGAAAGCCAGGCTGCCTGGGTTCAAACCCTGCTTTACCACTTGCTAACTATGTGACCTTTAGGCAAATTACTTAATTTTTCTGTGCCTCAGTTTCCTCATTGGTAAGACAGGGAGAATAAAATAACTATTTCATAAAGTTAACATAAAGATTAGATGAGCTAATATTTGTAAAGCAAAACAGTGCCTGACATATACTAAGTGCTGTGTAAGTGTTTACAAGACAAATAAGCATTGGTCGATCCCTAGTCTAGGTCAGGCTCCAGGTTATGAGTGATGAATTGTTCCTCCAGCACTTTCATAGTTTGTGGATACATACTGAAGTGATCATTTACCAAATAATGTCTCCCCCACTAGATTGAAAGCTACATAAGGAACTGAACTGTCCTGCTCACTCTTCTAGCCCTAATAACTAGAACTGCCTGGTTCATAGTCACACTCATGAGATACTTACTGTTTCAGTGAAGGAATGACCTGATCACATTTCATCATAATTACCTTTTTACACTTTTATCTACTCCAGCAGAGTAAAAAACTTCTCCTTTATCTTTTTATCTCCTGTATCTAGTAAGTTCAAAGCACAAAGTAGGTGCTCAGTAAATGTCTGTTGAACTAAAGTAGTAACTCTATAAACATTTTTTGTTATCACTCTATTAAATTAATGATGTTCCCAATCTGAAGGGCTATTTGGCAAAAAAGAACAGCTGGTGTGGACAAACAGAAAGACCTGGATGTGGCATTTTTTTTTACCAAGATGTTTGAAATAATCTTAAATATAAATGCCAGTCTATCAATGAAAACCCATCACTGTGACTGTGGAAATACTGGTCATAAAAGGTGGGCACCCAACTGATGTACCTTCAAACTGCAAGTCATCTACAGCTGCCATTCAGCCAGTGGGTCTTCTCCCAATTAGTAAGAAGAAAAATTGCAGAGGTCTAAAAAGGAAAAATAAACTTCATAGGATACCAGAATAAAACATATGCAAACAAGTCTTGTTTCACTGTTAGAAATGGTATTGATTTCCCTCACCTCTTTTAGTGGGGTGTGATAGGTCCTGTATAAAGATAATCATTTAGCATCAGATATTATGAAACTATCATAAAGAAACTAACCCTGGGCGGTCCAAAGGTTCCATCCAATCTCACTCACTCTGAGTGTTCAAGGACGAGCTACAGCTCGAGATGTAAGGGTGAGGAGGGGGAGGCTAGAGTTTGAAAGGTGGTCATGAGGACAGTGAAGCGCAAAGGCAGTTCAGCCTAGCCAGTGGTTAAGGGCACAGGCTCTGGGGTCCAACAGACCTGGGTTTGATTCCCGATTCTGCTTCTCCTCGCTGTGTGACTGTGGGCTTCTCGGGGCCTCAGTTTTCTCATCTGTAAAATGGGTTCATAATGGTACCTACTCACAAGGTGTCGGAGGCCATTAAATGAGACAGTGAGTGTAAGGCGCTTAGTGCACAGCCGAGCAATTAGTAGGTGCTGGAGTGAGGGTGACCCTGCAGCCTGGGACACCCTGAACCCAAGCAGGTCTGGGAAAGAGCTGCCCAAGAAGCAGAGGCAGTGTTTTAGGGGGTCGGAGCTGGGCCGCAGCGGCCCGGGCGCGCAGGAGATCGCGGAACCCCTCTGTCCCGGGCCGGCCAGCCGACCCGGCCGCCTCACCTCGGGGGGCCTTGGCGTCCAGCCGGTCCCGAGAAGGTTCCGGCCTCAGTTGCTCCGCGTAGGTACGTGCCCAGCCGAGTTGCCGGAAGCCGGAGATCCGGGGTGCGGGACTTCTCCGCCTCCTCCGGGCAGAGCCCCGCCTCCTTAAAGAGACCGCAGTACCAGGGCACGTTGCTTCGGAGACCGAGCGCCCTCGGCTTCCAGAGCCCCCCCTTCCCCCGGCCCCATGGAGGCCGAGGTTCGGGTTCTTAAAGAGACAGACGCCGCCAGGAGGAGACGTGGGGACACTGGGGGGCTGGGGAGCGGGGGCGGCACAGAGAATACTCAAGCGTGTGGGGTCTTCTTCCTGTTTGTTTATACCTCTTTTCTTACTGAAATATAAAATAGCGTAACGAAGGACGGTTGTCAAGAGGCAAAAAGTCATCAATCCCTCGCATTCTTTTTTGGCCATAAAAATGTAATTAATTAACCGGTGATGGAATGGATGAATCAAATCTTTTCTGAGTTGTAAATGAGTGATCGAGGGCGGGTGACGTCTGTTCACGTGGCCGCCCCCGGTAAGTGTGGCACTCGCGCGCCCGCCTCCTTCTGCCCCGGGTGGGGGCGGGGGTAGGGGCGGGGAGAGCGGTAGGCATTGGCCTCCCTCACCCCTCTGTTCCCCACGGCACTAACCGCCACCCCCAGCCCGGCAGGGACCCAGTAATCCACGGCGGTGCACTGGCGGACCTGGTGAGAAAAGTTTTGCCCTGCCTTCTGTCTTGGCCTGGTTACGCCTACACGGTCCTCCAGCTTTGGGGAAGAAAGCCTGCCTTGGCCTAGGACCTCACCAGGACCTCTGTGCTCCCATGACTCCTGGGCTTGCCTCCAGCACCGCGATTGCTGTTGTCTGCCCGCCTTTACCAGCCTAGAAGGGCTCTGAGAGCAAGGACCAGGAGTGTCTCTGGTCTCTGGGTGCCCAGAGCCTGGCACGGCACGACGTAGTTGCTCACTGAAGGTTCGCTGTACAGTGGAGAGGTTCTGGCTCTCTGAGCAGCAGAACCCTAATTCCCGCCTCACACAAGGTGGGAACCGTGACTTTGGCCTCACCACCCCCGACCCTTGTGATCAACTGGGAAGACTTTACATCTGACTAATAAGTATATATGTATGTATTTTTATGCATACACACATACATACAGTGTATTTGCTGAACTGACATCATGATCAGGCTTTACGCATGCAGGATCTCTAATTCTCAGAACAATCCTACAAGCTTGAGGTGACTCTCCTCATTTTATAAAGAGAAAGCTGAGACAGAGTATGTTCAGGGTTCTTTGGTTGAATAGGTACCAGGAATGAATCGCAGTGCACAAGTTGAGGTGTGCAAGTATGTCAAACACCTCTTATACCCATTTCAGATCCTCTTGGCCTCACCTACTGCTTATTTCACCACCATGGATGTTACTCAGGCACCAGCAGTATAACCTAAGTGAGCTTCTCCTCAAGCCCATGCCTCAGGCTTCTCACCTGAATCATGGCTGTGTCTTGGAGGTCCTGGGTCTGCTGGAACTGGTCAACGCGGGGACATGAGCAACCCAGAAGTGCAGGGGTGGGGAGTGGATGATGCATCACGGGACACATCTTTGAGTAATGGAGTGAACAACTGATGCTTCTCTCTTTTTCCCTTCAGAAAGAATCTCCTCAGATAGTTCATACAGCTTTCTAACTCTCTTGCAGGATCAAGCAACAAATGCCTTAGGAAGTGATTGATCTGACAATGCATCCTTGCAATCACTCTCTTACCTTCCCTGCTTATAACCCCTGCCCCTCGCTCCAAGTTCTTGGACTCACACTTGCCAATAAAGTCCTCATATGAGGAACCTACACTAAGGCATGCTGGTACCAAGAGTGGCCCCAGGGATCAGCCCTCTGGTTGGAATTTCAGAACTGGACTGCTCAGCAAACAAATATTGTGAAGATGTCAATGCTACCTAGAGCAATCTACACATTTAATGCAATCCCTATCAAAATGCCATCCACTTTTTTCAAAGAAATGGAACAAATAATACTAAAATTTTTATGGAACAAGAAAAGACCCCGAATAGCCGGAGGAATGTTGAAAAAGCAAAGCAAAGCTGGTGGTATCACAATTCTGGACTTCAAGCTCTATTTTTTTTTAGACTTATTTATTTTTTTTAAGATTTTATTTATTTATTTGAGAGAGAGAGAATGAGAGATAGCACAAGAGGGAAGAGGGTCAGAGGGAGTAGCAGACTCCCTGCTGAGCAGGGAGCCCGATGTGGGACTCGATCCCGGGACTCCAGGATCATGACCTGAGCCGAAGGCAGTTGCTTAACCAACTGAGCCACCCAGGAGCCCAAAGATTTATTTATTTATTTGACAGAGAGAGACATAGCGAGAGAGGGAACACAGGCAGGGGGAGGGGGAGAGGGAGAAGTTTGCTTCCCGCCAATCAGGGAGCCCAAGGTGGGGCTTGATCCCAGGACCCTGAGATCATGACCTGAACCAAAGGCAGACGCTTAACGACTGAGCCACCCAGGCGCCCCATGGACTTCAGGCTCTATTACAAAGCTGTAATCATCAAGACAGTACGATACTGGCACAAAAACAGACACATAGATCAATGGAACAGAATAGAGAGCCCAGAAATGGACCCTCAACTCTATGGTCAACTAATCTTTGACAAAGCAGGAAAGAATGTCCAATGGAAAAAAGATGGTCTCTTCAACAAATGGTGGTGGGAAAATTGGACAGCCACATGCAGAAGAATGAAACTGTACCATTTCCTTACAGCACACACAAAAATAGACTCAAAATGGATGCAAGACCTAAATGTGACAGAAGTCCATCAAAATCCTAGAGGAGAACACAGGCAGCAACCTCTTCGACCTCAGCCGCAGCAACTTCTTCCTAGAAACATCACCAAAGGCAAGAAAAGCAAGGGCAAAAATGAACTATTGGGACTTCATCAAATAAAAAGCTTTTGCACAGCAAAGGAAACAGTCAACAAAACCAAAAGACAACCGACAGAATGGGAGAAGATATTTGCAAATGAAATATCAGATAAAGGGTTAGTATCCAAAATCTATAAAGAACTTATCAAACTCAACACCCAAAGAACAAACGATCCAGTCAAGAAATGGGCAGAAGACATGAACAGACATTTTTCCAAAGAAGACATCCAAATGGCCAACAGACACATGAAAAAGTGCTCAACATCGCTCGGCATCAGGGAAATCCAAATCAAAACCTAAATGAGATACCACCTCACACCAGTCAGAATGGCTAAAATGAACAAGTCAGGAAATGACAGATGTTGGTGAGGATGCAGAGAAAGGGGAACCCTCCTACACTGTTGGTGGGAATGCAAGCTGGAGCAGCCACTCTGGAAACGATAGGGAGGTTCCTCAAAAAGTTGAAAATAGAGCTACTGTATGACCCAGCAATTGCACTACTGGGTATTTACCCCAAAGATATAAATGTAGTGATCCGAAGGGGCACGTGCACCCCAATGTTTATAGCAGCAATGTCCACAATAGCCTAACTATGGACAGAGCCAAGGTGTCCATCAACAGATGAATGGATAAAGAAGATGTGGTATATATATACAATGGAATATTATGCAGCCATCAAAAAAAAAACCCAAATCTTGCCATTTGCAATGACGTGGATGGAACTAGAGGGTATTATGTTAAGCAAAACAAGTCAATCAGAGGAAGACATGTATCATATGATATCACAGATATGAGGAATTCTTAATCTGAGGAAACCAACTGAGGGTTGCTAGAGTGGTGGGGGGTGGAAGGGATGGGGTGGCTGGGTGATAGATACTGGGGAGGGTATGTGCCATGGTGAGTGCTGTGAATTGTGTAAGACTGATGAATCATAGACCTGTACCTCTGAAACAAATAATACATTGTATGTTAAAAAGAAGAAGAAGGAGGAGGAGGAGGAG